GCTTTGTTGTTCTTCTTAAGGTTTCCTGATTCTTAGGGAAAAAAAAAAAAGCATTTCATTAGTAATAGGGGAGATGGATCACTGAGAAGTCACTGAGTGGTGTGCGTGCGTAGTGTTGGGATTGTTTTGAAATGGACAAGTGGGGGCTAAGGCTCAGTGTGCCAGAAGGTTTGCATTCACCAGTTGTGTCCATCTGAGATATGTTTTGATTCACACAGACTGTAACATATGGCATGGATGAGCAGGTTGCAATAAAACTCCAGTGAGTTTTGAACCTATTATTAACCCCTCAAATCTGATTTTTCTGGTGCAATTTGAAGATGAGTAGTTGGAAAACCAACTACCTTACTACCAATCTTTTGCTGTCTTGTCCTGCATACAACTGTTAACCATAAATGAGTGGTAACACTGCCTTTTATGTAGTAACTTAATATACGTACCTTTCATGCTTGTCATATTTGGTAACTCTTGGTCTCCCCACCCCCAGCATATACGTTGGGCAATCTTTTATCTAAAGAAATGCATGTCGGTAAGAGATGTCAGAGGAGCACATTTCAGTTTGTTCAAAGCAGCTTGTCAGAGAGGCCAGCCTTTATGCTTGTTTTCCAGTTGATTTCCTGAGATGCAATCAGACAAATGATTTACCCAAGGTCACCCAGCAAGTTATTGGCTACGCCAGGACTGTAGGATCCTGTGATGTTCCTGTTTCACAAGCTTTTGCTTTGTTTGCTTGTACCATTCGTGTGCCGAAGTCCCAGTACAGTGATCTTCAAACTGAACATTATTAATATCAAAGAATTGTTTTCTGTCCAGAGCCTTCATGTTTTTGTTTGTTTGTTTTATTTTTAAACTTCAAATGTCTTCCTAGATCTGCTTTTAGCCCAACACTTGACTGGAAAAAATCAATTCCTTCAGTTTAAATAACCTGGTGAATACACAGTGCCGGGGATATTTCTTAACTCATTTCATTCTAAATCCACCAGACAGCACTTCTGCGGGACATTATACCTGTAATACAAAGCATAAGCCACTTAGAAGAAATAGGTGTCAGGAAATTACACCAAGTGGAATGAGTTTAATTTGAAACTGATTTCAAATCAGATTTCCTATCCAGTGATGTAAAAGCATCAGCTTCGGTCAATTTTCTGGAAGTCACATAGCCACATCACTGGTCCTCCCGAGTAACCTCTTCTTGGGACTACTGCCAGTTTTACCTGCAGTAAAGGCTCGGGCACACAGGTAAATAAGGAAGCAGGAAAGTGTAAGGCTTTTAATTTTTAACCTGTTTGAGCCACAGTCATCCCATCTGATGCTAGCCAAGGGAGGGGAGAACAACATGAAGTGAAGGTAGAGGAGGAAGAAAAGCATTAACATTCAAAGCTTCACTGCCTTAACTTTCTCTTACAGATTGCTCTGTCATAGGCAAAAAGTCAAAATCAGCATTTTAATAAAGAGCGTTGTGAAGAATTTGTTCCCCTTTCCTGCAGGTGAAACAGAATTGAGTCCTCCATTTCCCACAGCATTGTGGCATTCCAACATGACGTTCAACCATAATTTTATTTTATTGAAAAATAGCTTCAAAGTTACGGCAATCCTGTTATATCTTATTCTCTTTCAATCTTCTGTCCCTGTTTTTTTGAAAATACATTTCATATCAAAATCCTTGGTGTGGTTAAAGATGTTAACAACATTTCATGGGCCTGCACGCTCCCTTCTCAGCAGAGTGTAAAGGAATCTGAATCCTCAGAGCTCAGTCCTCCAATGGGCTGGATGGGAATGCAGCCATTCTCATTAAAACGAATTAAAAAGAAAAAAAAAAAAAAAAAAAAAATAGAGTCTGATAGCACTGATGGGCTTCATTGCTGGTGACTGCAATGCATTTGGTCTGTTTGAGGTATGCCAGAAGGTGCCAGGAGGTGAAGTACCTGTGCAAGGACAGCAGGAGAGCTAAAGCCAGGAGAGAATAGAAGAGAAAGAATTGTGTATTTCATTACATGTGAGGAAAGAAGCAGAAAAAGTCTAGTTTCATGCCTTGTATTCAGAAAGTGAACAGAGGACTATAAACTGCAGCTGGAATTAATGCAAAAGGAGATGCCTAGCCACATTGTTTCACGGAAAAAAATGAAAGCTTTTTGTTTTGTTTTTTCTCAATTGGCAAAACCATGGCAGGAAAAAAAACATTATTTTTTTTTTGTCAGTTCTGACTGCAAGAGACCCTTAACGGTGTTAAATACAGAAATCCACATGCTATATTCTTTCCCCTTCTCCACTAATGGTCTCTAAAATACAGCTTTTCAAGCGAGAGGTAAAAGGCAGAAGCTGTACCCTAATATATAAACAGGCCACACCTGACTAAATTAGTGAGTTTTCTTGGGTAGATAATAGCAGGAGGTCAGGGTGCCATACTGAGGCAGTGATTAACCTTGCTAACAAACTAATTAGCCTGCTTATGCACCCTGTGTTGTTTCTCACTCCTCTACCTGATAAAGACATTTGAAAAATAATAATATTGCCATGGGACAGAAGAGCACTAATCCTCCTTAGCTTGCCAAGCTCCAGTTTGTTTGTAGTCCATCTCACTTAGATTTTCTTTTTATTCTGCCAGACACAAATAGTCTTGGATTTATTTTCTACCCTCAGTTTTTAGGTGCTTCTTGGAAATCAATAAGATGTAACGATTAAGAGAGAGGACTATAAGCTAGCAAATATCAGATATCTCAATGAGAAACTTCATAAGAAATTACTTAATATCTTTGGCTTTCACATTACAGTGAGAACAGCTTCCAGACTTACAGAACTATGTAAGGGTTAATATTTGCCAAACTTTTGAAAATATTTAAATATGGACTATGGGGAAGAATAAATTTGTGTTGCTATTAATGTAAAGAATGGATGAACTAAGCACTGTGACAGTAGCACTGTGTTAGCAGAATGATTTGAATACATATGACTATAATGTATATTTATTTAAAGTGTTTTTAAAAGGTAGCTGCTAGCTCCTGAAATGAAAGGTGCTGGCTGGTCTTAAGTCATTATTATCATCACTAAAGAACTTCTTGTAGCATGCTGTGCTTCTGGAGGGGCACACAGAGGCTAAATATTCTAGTTTGTAGAGTCTGTGTTAGGCTGAAGTGAGAGAAGTGCAGGTGCTTTCTCTTCGTGCTAGAACTATGAAGCATCCTGGTGCAAATAGAGCAGCTGTCATCTGGGGGGGGGGCTTTTTGTGGAAACAGGCTCCGTGCAATAATCTGTGGATTCAGTGATCTCAGGCACTCACATGAGTTCTTCTTCCAGAGGAATGGAAGTAGAACTTCCCGGTGCTGTAATCAGGACTTTTCTGTAACCCCCCTTTAGGGTCATCACAGTTTATGTCAGTAGCAACACAGAAGAAAAGAGATGAAAGGAAAACAAGATTTAGCTTAAGCCCAAAATAGAAATCAATCCAGATTCAGCTGTTGTAAATGAAGCCTTTCTTTCAGGTTGGGAGAAGCCCACACCCTCCTCTTGTCCCACAGCTAAGGCTTCATTGAGGGCTTAAGGTGCAAAAGAGGCATCTTGAGGCCAGCTTCCCTCCCATTCCCCTTCCAGCTTAGCATGCACCCAGCAGTTGTGCTGTCATTCACCAGTGCCATAGGATGACGATTAACAACTCTCTGCAGTAACCTGAGTTGATGCTACTTCTGAACTACGGTCCTTTGTGCAGCCAAAATGCAATAAGACAACCATTTCAAGTAGTGAAAGCGCAGAGATAAAACTTTGTATTTCTAAAGTGTCAGAAGAGCTGGACAGTAATTGAGAGGCTCTTGGGAAAGCAAAGCATCCCAAAAGTCCTCTTTGCAACCAAAGGGGCACAGGCTCAGCAGCAGCCGTGCTGTCTTGGCAGGGAGAAGCCTGCCAACCTGGCATTCATAACAGCGAGTTCAGCACTGGCCAAACGGGCTGTCAGAGCAGCGCTAACGCAAGTCTGGATTAAAAACTTAGAAGGAATACAAAGACTTACGGGCTTTCCCCAGAGCCCATCTTTCCAAGGGAAAGACAGGCTTAAGCTGGTTTTAGGATGGTGATGATGTCATGTCTCATGTCAGACATGACTCCAGCATCTAAGCTTTTTTATACCATGTTTGCAGACTTTTATTTTTCACTTTCTGTTAACATACTGGAAGAGAAAAACAAAGCAGAAACAAACAACCAAGCAGTAAATACATGAGGAAGAAAAAAAAAATAAAGGAGTAAGGAAAGAAGAGCTCAAGTATGGATGGGAATAATGCCACAGTGGGATTTATTAGCTGAGTCTGCTGACATTGGTTTTCTCTTTCTGCAACAATTGGTTTTCTCTTCCTCTGTAAACCCTTGACTGAAGAAGGCACCTCAGGTGATCTTCCAAGTCTTTGCCTGAGCAAGGCATCAGGCTGGAGGTGTAAAGGTTCCGGAGGGCATGAAGCCCGCACCACTGGAAGCAGTGAGGATTATCCATTACATCGGGCCAGGCAGGCAAACACAGCTCCTCCTCTCCAGGGCTATTTGCTGCGGCTCCTACACGTCTGCCTCCACTTCTGGCCACGAGAGCCCTGGGCATTAGGGAGCCGGCACAAGCTGCTCGTGGACATGGAGTCAAAGTGGGGGCGGCGCTGGCATCCTAAGGAGGATATGCTTCAAAAGGAAGGGGAGAGAGAGAGGAGTACAGGAGTTATCTGCTCCAACGACTGCAGCAGGGATGGAAACAAGCAACAACTAACATCTTAATGTATTCTAAGGCACTACTGCATGGCGATACCATCAAGTGTACAGCATGTGAGGCTAAAACAAAGCTATGTAAAATTACCAACATCCATATGACGTGAGGGCATGATGATAGGTCTTTACCCTCTGGCCAGTTCATACACGTTTACCAAGGCAAGATCTCACCCAGGTCAATATGTGGCAGTCAGGCACTCAAGGACTCACAATTTCTTCACATAAGACCTTCCTTTAAATATCATCCAAACACAGACCACATAAAGCTAAGTTATGAGAGCCCTTGGGGAATCTTATTATCCTCTGAGCTAGAAAACTATCATTTCTATCCTATTCTTAAGAATAATAGGAAACCTTATTTCCTAGCAGCTGCTGGAACTGTAGGGAGATGCAGTGGCTTTTGGTCTAGGGTTATTCTTACATCAATCATAGTTTCTCTGAGAAAAACAAGGTGAGGCCAGTCCTGCCAGTAGTCTGTTCTGGAAAAGGCCCTCTCTCCTCCTTATCTTTGACCAGCCTTTGCAGTTTTGAGCTATCTGCTTCTGGCTAATAATTCTGAACAAAATTACTTCAGCATTTGCAATACGATAAGCATTGATCAGCAAGCGATGGAAAGTCGCCTGTATCTTTTCTGGCACTACAAGATGGAATCTGACTTACATGTATGTGATGTCTTCCCAAACGGTTAGTTCTAATCTGCCTACCTCTAAACATCACTTATTCATGTATTTCATACAAATATGTTTATTACATTTAGGGGAGGAAAAATCTTCCCTATGAGCATTTCCATAATCAGATGGGATGCTGAGAGGTACCCGGAATGCTTAACAATTTATGTATGTTTAAGGGTACTCAATTACATCATGCACTGCAAAATTAACAATGCTTATAACCAAAATATTTATCACAAGAGCACTGAAATATTTTCCTGGTTGAACAGATATGATGGCTGTTGTAATGGCAAAGCATAAATGGTTCTGAACATCTTGATGTGGCAGACTGAGAAGCTGCAATATTTCTCATTTTGTACATTGATAAACAGAGCTACATTATGAACACTTCTCCTGATGGAAGAGATTTGTTTCCAGTCAGACTGCTGCCTCCATCACCTTAGTCTGAAAAAAAATAAAATAAAAAAATGTTCTCAGGTAAGCCTGAAAGCCTTCAAGATAAAAGCCAGCAAGATGAATGAGCACAGAAAAACCACCATAGAATGTGCGTTTACTTTTCAGTAGTTCAAAATGGGATTGAATCCTTGCCCTGAATATCTCGAGATGACCATGAAAAGAGTAAAAGGGAGATTAGAAATGCAGATTTTTTTTATTATTATTATTTGCATCTGAATGATTCAGATGGCTTCTTTCCTAATGAGAGATTCTTGGAAGAGGAACAATTGCTCTTTCTCTGTAACACATTTTTTCTGATACATGTCGCGCCCTGCATTCAAGAGCCACCAAAAAATTCTGAAAAGCATGCAGGTTTCTCTGTGCTGCCTCATGTTTGGTTTTCCTTTTAGGCTTTATAGATCTCTTGTAAGCATTGCTCCTGGGAGTAAGTCAAGCAGTTTAAAGAATCCAAAGAAACATGACTGTCAAGAAAAGATTACTAAGAAAAGCAATGAGAGATACAGAACGCCCCTGTGATATTGCAGCCCAGAGCCCAGGGTGGAGGTCACTTTGCCATTTTGTTTGCTGCAACTGTCTGTGAGGACATGGGAGGAAAGGAAAAAGAGATTTGGAAAACCCCAGACAATATTTAGGAAGGTGGCAATATATAAAAAAGAAGTGTATATAGAAATAACTGGCTGTAGGATGGAAGTCTAACATGTACCTGAGCAAGGCTTCAAAGGAAGGCCATGTGAGATGAGAGGACATCAGTGCTGGAGCACTTGTTGGTTTTTTGGAAATTGAAAGCATTCAATGGGAATGCCATGAGCTGGGAGGAAATGTCTACATTTGAGATACGTGATCACAGTCTGGAAGTGTTATAGAAGTCTAACCTTCAGAAACTTGGTGCAGGACACTGAAACTGGTCTCCTCAGGACAAATCAGTGGTACATTTCTTCTAGGATATTTTACGTGGGTTAGCTGGAAAATGACAAGATATAAATCTCTTGAAGACAACCATTAGAGATAATTGAGAAATAGATGATACAAGGAATGATGAACTCACTAGCTGATACTGAATTCACATTCATCTGTCTCATCAAGATCTATAATTATACAAAATTACAAATTAAGTGTACTTTCATTAGGCTCACGTAAAAGGAAATGGCTTTTCTAATGATACGAGTAAATCTGCACTGGAGGCCCCTCAGTACCTGAGCCAAATCTTTTCTGGCAGCTTAAAAGGGGCCCCTTTACCTTTGAAAGGTGAACTGGAAGATCTGAACCCCACACTAAATTTGAAAGTACATTAAGCAGAACTAATTACACTGAATCCTCCCCATAGCCTATCTCATGTTTTCTCTCTGCCTCCAGGGCTCCTGTGTCTCATTTGTGAAGTAAATTAAGGCCATTGTTCTGGGATAAGCCACTTGTTTAAGCTCTTGAGCTCAGTCTTGGGTAAAAAAGTGGAACACTAAAATCTAAATAAATAAACAGAGTTATTTTGTCTCTGCTTTTGCATAATAATCTTATCATTCTCTATCAAACACTTCTCTTTCTTCTATCCCCAGAAGTCTCATAGTGTTCAGTCAAACAATATAAAGTATGTTCAGAGAAGAGTTCAGAGAGAATTCCATGATTCTGTGAAGAGTAAAAGAAAGAAACAAAAAATGTTCCTCTGAAATATTGCCTGATACTTCTCTGAATTGCCTGGGTTCTTCTCTTGGTGTGAAATGCAGGCACACACCTGGATGTAAAGCTTGAGGCCAAATCCACCGAAACTTGGAGTAAACTTTTAACACAGCAGAAAAATTATTGCAGTGAGTTTATGTTTCTATTGCTTAATGCTAAGCAGTCTGCGAAATACCTGCCTGTAGTGAACCACTGTATAGGACAGGCCCCACAGCTGGGCAATGTTTCATTGCCATGTTTGTGTTATCTTAATGCTTAATGGTGGAACAAGGTAGCCCTCTTCAAATCATCTGGAAATATTTTACTTTGTTTTCCTTGGTTTTACAAGTAAGTCAAAAACAACTTTAGGAAAGTTTTAATGTTGCAGAAGTAAATCTAAAAAGTGCCAGAATTAATGAAAGCAACATCAACTTCAGAGCCTTGCCCACCTGCATTAAGAAAATCATTACCTTGTATAACTCAGGAAACTGCGTTCATGGAGAATTATGCAGTGGGACAGAGAGCTGCATCTTGCAGCTGTATGCAATGTGTGAAGAGAGCTGCGAAAAAAAATGTATGAGTAATATGAGTGATGAGATTATTAAAGTAGTGTTTTGAAAGCTGGGAATTTAAGGGATTGTAGTTTTGCCACTGGCTTCACTGGAGTCAGGATTTCATCCAAGAAATCTAAGTCAATTAAAATACGCTGAGCCATTATGCCAATGAGATAACTGTAGAGTTAAAAGAATGACACATTTGATCAGATGTAATGTGCACTCATATATAAGGAAAAGTGTGCTTCCTTAGATATCTTAACTGTAGGCTTCAATGATAAAAAAAAAAAAAAAAAAAAAAAAAAAAAAAAGGAAGAGGACATTTATAAAGCCATAATGTCACTAATTTTTGATTCTTGATATCTCCTGCTCAGCTTTAAAATACCATACTTTCCTATGGAATTTACCCTGAAATAAAACAAATACCATAGCTGCAGAATCCTTTACTACACAGAGATATCGCGTAGGCAAGCAAGGGTCTCTCAAAGGTTGGTAAAATCAAATATGTATCGGACATCAGTCTAATTCCATTAAAATAGAGTTTTAGAAAAGATGACTTAAAAATAATCCCTTCTTGCCAGAAAATTCCCTTTTGCCACATCCTCCTCGGGTTGCATCATGCAGCTCATTTTCTTCCTGTAATCCTACCGGTCTCCTGTGTACTGCAGTTAAACAAAATGGAGGATTATGAAAGCAAGGAGCTAAAACCAAATAGGCAATTTGCAAATATGAACCGAATCGGGGAAGGTATTGGATATAAATATTGCTTCAGCTGAGGAAATATTAATTTTCTCTGTTTTCTAAAAGAAGAGAAACACCATGAAGGAAAGCAAAATCAAGGTGTGAAAGGACAAAGGAAGGAGAGGAGTGTGCCCTCTTACTCCTCATGCAGAACATAAGGAATATTGTCAATATTTAAAACCTCTTTTACTTACTGCTACGAACAGAATGCTATCAGCAGTCAATCTGGAAACAAGGCTTTTCAATTTTCAGCACAAACTCTAGATTTTTCCCTTCCTAAGTGCCAAAAACAGTCTGTGTAAATATGCCTTGCTCTCAGCAGTTTGCAGATGAGCAGCAGGCAGCTTCTGGTTTCTGCACGCTGTACCTGAGAAGCCCATCACTTATTAACAGCTCTGTTGACGAAGTCACCTGGAGCCCCCTTCATTGCTTTAAATCTAGATTTACCCCATGGTACCTCTAATTGATCCAAACGTGGGTTCTGTGCCTTTCCCAAGAATCCGTATTAGGGCTTACATTTTTGTAGCCATTCCTCAGCATACCAGCCTTTATGTAGTTAGAAAACCTAACTGTAGGCTTCAAAAGGCGTGTTTTAATTCCTCAGAATATTACAGAAGAGGAATCTTTCATAAACTTTGTTGTCCCCTACTCTGCCAGTGAGTTTGCCCCACATGGATAGCAAGGACAGAGCACTCTGAGAAGGATTTGTCAGCTCTTTGGTTTGCCTTTTTTTTTGTACCCAAACCTTCAGCAATCCAATGAGTATTTTTAGGCAGCTCTTTATCATTTAAGAAAAGATTGCAGTGCAGTTTTATGACTAAACACGTTCATTTAAGTGTTGGCAAACTGTCCAGATTAAGTGTTCATTTCATACATGTATTATTCTTGGGATCAATACTTGGATGGCTAATTTGTTGTTACACAGTCTGTTCTGTATTGTCTTATTCCATGCCAGGCCTTTATAAATAGAAATAGTAACTCAGAAAGGGAAAATGCTATAGACAAGTGGGCATAAGAAATGAATATTACTTTCCCATATTCTCTAAGAAAACTATGTATATATGCATATATACACAGAGCCCATTCTTCTAGAGATCTGGCCTTTTTCCTTACAGAGGGAGAAAAATGTGAACCAGTGCTGGTTGTTGGCAGCCTTTATGCTCACTGTTGCATTATCTGTTCCTTCTAATGGCCAAACTGTAAGTTAGTTTGTAAGGTTAAAGCTAACCTTTCATCCTGTTTTGTGGAGAATAGATGAAATTTAGTTTTCTTCATAGTAGAGCAGCTGACTAGTTTTGCTTGCCTGACTAAGTCATGTAATCTCTCTGAATTCTGTTTTTCTCAGTTTTAAAATAGGCATAAGTACCACCTGGTGTTTTTCTGCAAGTGTTTTAGTCCAACATCCCAACAGTTTAAGGTCGAGAAGAACAGGCTTAAATGATTTGATGGGTTGGGGAGTTGCATTGTTATTCAAATTCTGCTCTTCTGCCCTGAAATGGAAATTTCCAGAAATTAAATACAATTTCTGTTCTGAAATAACTGATAATGATGACAATGGAAAATTTCTCTCTTCAGTGGCTTGTTTCTCCATGTTACTGTAGTTGCCATCATGTCTTTAAGCAGTTGCAACCCTGGTTTCAGTGCTCCCTACCAGCCATGTGAGGTTACATGGCAATGCAGATGCAGTTGCTCTCTTTCTCCTTTCCTCTCCCAGACGTGCTTTTCTATGCAAGTTCTTGTTCACATATGTTGCAGCAGAGCAATATAGCAGGTTGGTGGAAGAAGGAGGCATGGGGACCAAAGACTTATGAGACACATGGACCCTGCATGTAGCATTTCTGACCAGGGTCAGGACAGGAGGGATGTCACTCATCCTCCACCTCACCTGGCATGCTAGGTGGTTAGCTGTCAATGCATCATAGTCTATGAAATCATTTCAGTAAAACAGGGACCAGCTCCAACCTGTGCTTAGAACTTAAGTGAAATTTGAATTGAGTCTTGCCTGAGGTTTTTATGTGTCTGTCTGATACTTCAGCTGATTAAGAAAATAATAATAATTATAATTCTACCTATAAAAAGTGTTACTTTTACATTTCTCAATTTTCCCTCTAACATTTTTTTTCCTTCATTCAATCTCCTCCTACTTCAGGGACATTCCAATGCCAAGGAGTGAAGAAAAAAGTCAGGGCTGAGTAGGAAATATATTCTCTGGGTGAATCAACTAAGCACTGAAATATTCTTAGCTTTTCCAGAGGTTTTAATTGCAGTGATTAGAAATTTGCCTAATTCTCCAGGTTTACTTCTCCCTGTCACTGTGTCAGAAACCATACTCTTACTCTACTGTTTGTCTTTCTTGTTTAAATCATAGTGTCTTAAGTGAGGAAATGCTTGCTGTGTATGTATGTGTATGTATGTACAATGTAAATTTCAGCTCGGTTTGTGGGTGTTGGATGTATGCATATTTAGGTTCAACTGGTTGCAGAGAAGTGAGTGTGCAAGCGTTTGTTTTAAATGAGCTATTTTGCTTTGAAATCAAGCTCAAACTTCCAAAAGGATCGTATTTAACTGACAGTTAATTTCCAAATAGGCTATATTGAATAACACTAAAAACGAAAAGAAGAACAAAAGTTCTGGAGATCCCAGGTCACTGAGAAACTGTTTTTCAGGTCTTCCCTTCTGCTTATTCATCCAACTGGTATTGAGATTTATATAGTGTTGGATTGGGACAAGAAAGCACATTGATCCACTTGTACATGCATCAGGTAAGACTGCCAAGCACAGTTAAATCCTTCACTCTGTCTTTTAAAGTCAACCTCAAACAGAGCACCAGGCAAAGTACCAGTTGCATTTCTTCAGTCAACCAATACCACATTTCATTCTCTCTTCTGGACCTGATGCCTTGTATTTAAGAGATTTTTGCTCCCTTAGTCTGCTCTCGTTGCCAGCAGCAAATAGCTCTTCCTTTGTTGTTCTCCAAACGCATTGAATTCCAGAGTTTTATAACCCAGTGCATGAAGCATTGCCAGCACCTGGGCATTGTGCATCTGCAAGGCACACACAGAAGACTGTAATCTTGCAGGTTTTTGCATATGCCTAGGTGACTGCCTAAAACCACAAAATCATAATAGCATCATAATAATAGTATGGTGACTACAGGGAGGTGTTGCAGTGGTAATGTTCTGTGTGACATCGTAAAGTTTGGTGACCAACACCTATTTTGTTCCCAAGGTTTTATATAAGAAGATAAACTAATGATCTGACTAAAGATATGAGATGCTACCAGTGTTATTTCAGGTGAAGCCAAGTACTTGCTTGCTGTGTTTGCAGTTACCATATTTGTCTCTAGCAATATGAAAGGCAGAAGGATTTACATTTACTTAATATTTATGGAGAATTCTGAATTAAGGTTTTGTTTACTGTCTGAATGTTTTATTGTCACATATGTGGACAGAGATAGATTTAGAAGATTTTTCAAAATGTGGGTTTCTTGAGAATCATTTAGCAAATTCCTAGAGAAAATGTCAAGATACAGAAACTGAAGGACTGTGGCAGCTGGAAAACTAAAGAAGTTTTAGTCTGTGGTTAGAAAGCCAAGAAATCAATCACAATTGTTAAAAGTTGCTGCAAGAAAGCACCGCATACGACAAAGGAAAGGGCACACTCAGAATACATCACAGAAAAAAAAATGAGCAGAACGTCTCAGGGAGGATGTGATGTTCTCCAATTCTTATTCTGCTGCAGAGTAGGAACAAAGCAATGACAAATGGGAAGCATTTAGGTAACCTCAAGCATGCACAAGGAAATGTAAAAAGAGAATTAAAAAAATAAATAAGACGCATATCACAATTAGAGCTAAACAAATGACAAAATAAAGTTACATATCATGATAATAAAGTGCCTTTTGAGATGGCATGACCCTTAGGTATAAAATTGGAAGACGCTAAGATATTTCACTACTTTCAGACCAGCCAGTAATGATGAAGAAAATCACCCCCATGAGAAAAGAAGGAAAAAATAAATGGGAAAGAGAAGCAAGAAATTAAATTTCATCTTTCTCATGAAAGGCTTTTCATATTTAGATGTATGTCTCAGCTTCTCCCAAGTGATCACAGCAAAATTCCTCCTCTGTAGGTCTGACTACTTTTCTGCCAGATGGAGCACTGCACTCCCTCAGCTGGATTTCTGCAGAGAAGTGACATCCAGTGACTTTTCCCCCCTTCTCTTCAGTGAATTTGATCCATCTAGGCAGCCTACCTGTTGTGGCTTTTCAGGAGCAGTCCCTTTTTACACAGCTGATGTTCCTTGTTTCAGACAAATGCTGATCAATACACCTACGTACTGGTTCCTTCTTTTGATGCATCCTCTTGTGTGGACTGACATACTGCTGCAGTAGTGTTGTTCCTTCTCATTCCCTCTGTTCAAGTGCTAGCTATCGTCCGCACACCTTTCTGAGACTTCCCATATTGAGCACTCAGGATTATGCAGGGTGTTTGGAACAGGTATTTCTGCCACGGGTTGCAAGGATGAGTGTTGTTGGTTCATTTCCCAGCCATACGCTATGATTTATTTTGTAAGAAGGATTTTAAGGAATTCAAGAGGGATCTAACAGCTAAAGTGATGAGACAGGGTGATGACACAGAAGTCATTTGAGAAGATTAAAAATGCAATACAAACTGTAACAAAACGAGTCATAGCTAATCTGTTTTTTTCAGTGAATGAAGTCCCATCGTGGTAAGTGATTCAGCAAAGATGTCAGCCCCATGTGGCGGGGGGCACGCAACTGTACCGCCATGACCATTGACTGTATATGCTCATTCATTTCAGTGAAGGATTCTTCGATGAAGGAACCAAATAGTGACTACCAAATTCAACTCTCGTCTTCTTCCCTGCAAATAAACATATGGCAGCAGAGCTAGAAAGCCTTGAGGAATGATTACTAGACTAGTGCAGGAATTTGTGCAGGGAAATTCATGTGGCACTCTCTTAAGTGACTGGCATCAACATGTTCTACTGCTTCAGTAAGACCATGCATGTGAAGTGTCATAGAAAATAGGTGTGCAGGTCGGTTAGTATGGATTTCCTATCATTGCAAATAGAAAACCTATTTAGACAGCTGGAGGAGTGGCCTCATTTAAGTTTCCACATTTTTATCTAACTCTGGTTACCTAGATTATTTGTTTGGAGAACACTGATAAGAGCAATCCCTTCAACATGCACAGTCACTGGGACAGTGAGTTAAGGGATTGGATCTTTAAATTAAGATGATATGTCTTTCTTTCAATTGTGGGAAAACGTTACCAAGCTACAAAATTTCACCCAGAATTTTTTACATTTAAATTGAACTTAGTAGCCGTAAACTTTTGACATTTACAAG